ATCTAAATAGTTTTTTTTTTAATCTATAATCGAATCTAAGAATTTCATTTGAATATGCGCTAACTTTTGAACGGGTAAATATATACTTTAGATGATAATTTTAAAGTTTAAGAGAGTTAGAGAATATCCAAACGATATGAGTATTATGTCTAAATTGGAAAATTTATCAAAATGTATGGTACACACGGATTTTTGCAAATTCAAACGAGACGAATGTAAACATTGCTCATATGGCTTTCATGGGATAGAGTTTTCATGGGATAGAGTTTTTATTGGTAAAAACATCAATTACGTTATCAAGGTGGAATTTCCACCTTGACAATTTAGGTAATTCGTTTTGGGAAGTCTGATATTTTTGGTACTTATCCGATTTCATATTTCAATAATTTACTAAAAATATAATTGATTACATTAGTTTACAGTTGATCCGGATCCGGCCTCATGTCAAACCGGATCCATCCTCATGTCGATCTGGATCTGTCTTCGTATCGATCCAAATATTATGATGAAACTATTATTATTACAAACGTTAAGAAAATGTTATGAAACAAAATCATTATAAATATGAGTTATAAAGGTTATATTAAATATTTACTACACAAATATATCCCCGCACGTATGTGCGGGTCCAAATCTAGTAATTTTAAGAAATTAAGAGAAATACGTTTAAAATCTTGAAAAAGTCAGAATATGAGATTCATTAAATTTATATGTCTCTATTCTTCTAACAATTTAATAGGAGGTTTTTACGAATTACCTTAAGTTCTTTTTCTTTTTTTAGAAACATTAATTCTTTATATATTGAAATTTAAAAATTATTTCCATAAAGCATTCATTTAGTAAAATATAAGAAGACTTAAAAAGGCAAAAATGGTGAAGAGTTTAATTGTAGTTCGTTTCTGCTTTTTCCTGATGATATTCTTGTTGATTTCTGAAGGTAAGCTATATATCATAACTTATAATTCTCTCAAAACTTTGATTGTTTGCGTTTGTGTTTATTTATAGATCTAACGCTTTTGTATTATCAAAACTTACAACCTTTAATTCTATAAGAAAGTTTTCATTTTTAAATGGTAAATGCTTAATACAACCACAATACAAATTCTTGTCTTTCTTTTTTAAACTGTGCAATTTTTGTTTTCAAATCTAGCTTCATTTGTGAAATAAAATTATTACATAAGAAAAAAGCACTAAATAATATTGAATATTTTTTTTAAAAATATAGTTTCTTTGAAGGAAAACAAAAGTTTGCATATTATAAAAGCAATAGTATTTTGAATACTTTTTAATTGATTTATACTTTATTTCATTAGGATCTACCAGAGAATCGTGGTGCCATGTACATAAAAGTAGTGCACCGCCAGGGACCTGTAATAAGAAAAATGGTCTTGATTTATGCAAAAGGATTTGTTATACAAAACATGACCTTCCCGGGGGACATTGTAATAGGAAGGGAAAAGAACTTGTTTGCGAATGCACCTACGTTCTATATTGCACACCACCGGCGCCACCGAAGTAACCACTAACCACCGAATTAACCATTCGTTTAAAAGTATTATTCATTTATTTACCTTTCTTTAATTTTTAAGATAATACAAGTATAACAACAATATATATGTTGTAAGCTTTTTTATATTTGCCATGCTTTTGTATAATTCTAAAATTGGGAAGGCCTATTAATAAAGTTGTTTTCTTTCTATCTTAAAGTGAACTTTATCTTTATATTAGTAAAAGATAAGTACAAAATTAAATATGGGTCGGGTCAAAGTTAAAATTTAACCAAAAATTAAATATTTTGATATTTCAAAATCCGAATTAATTGGGTGTAGATATAAAAACTTTCCAACATATTATAAATCAATACGAAAAATAGGTTGAATTAAATAACTGAAGTTGTATCACAAATCTAAGGGGGGGGGGGAGGGTGTATTGAACTGCACATTTTTGGAGATCTCTATATTAGTAAAAGAAAAGTACATTTGTACTTTCGGGTCGGATTAAAACAAAAATTAAACCCGGATTTCTTAATTGGATAGTTAGCAAATGGATCAAACCAAAATTAATGGATACATCCGGCGATTTTAGCGTAGCATTAATGTCATTTTAGAAATTAAATAAGTTTGCAAATATGGAAGTATATATATGGGATATCGTCAAAACTACAAGAT